TGCCGAAACTGCACTCGGCGGTATGGTGGATGGTGATGGCACAAGCTCCATTGGAGTCGGGCCAGTGCCGGGGATGGATCATGGCTCTGCCACCATGCCGCTGAACATCCGTGACGGTGTTGCTGGCGCTGTGCCACTTGCTGGCAGCCAGTTGCCGCGATCTCCGCGCAGCAGCTCTTCCAGCTCTTCCACCAACACCGGATCCATCACAGCATCCGGCGCCGTAGGTGGAGATGGTGTCAGTGGTGGCGGTGGTGGTGTTACTGGGAACGCAACAGGCGGCGTCCTGCAGCACCACCGTAGCTTCAATTCCGGACGGCCCAACGTTAACGTGTCGTCACCACTGCGGCGACTGGCCACCTCCCTGGCCTTCTCCGGCATGGCCGCTGGAGAGCATTTTCCGCAACGCATGAAGGTCGGGGCCGGCGTCGGCGACGGAAGCACCGGCGGCTGCGATGATGCCGGGGGCGGCGGCCGGGTGGGGTCACCGCGTCCTGGGCCGTACCGTCGTCCACCTGCACGCAGCTACTCGTTGCGAGCCCTGGTGCGGCCTATGGTGAACAGCCTCAGTGCCCAGCAGACCAGCTCAAATGTCCGAGGCCCCGGACAGCATCGGCTCGCGCTTGGGGACGGCTCGGCGGCGGCAGAGCAACCGGCGTCTGGGGTGCCCGCGCCGGCTGCCGCGGCGACACGCTCCCACCAGCCGCACTCACACGTGCGATCCGCGATGGGCGAAAACCAGTTCTACAGCTTCACCGCCGGGCAGCCGGGCGGTCTGTTGCCGCAGCGGCACTTCTCAGAACAGCTCCTCCCTGCCGTGGGTCAGCAGCAGCAACAAGTCACGCTGCAGCCCGCCGGCGGCTCGAGCCAGGTTATGAAGCGCACCGTTTCACCTGCCGGCCCAGCCTTCGCGGCTCCCGCGAAGCAGCGGTCTTCGGTCCTGGCGTTTGCAGAACGCCTGCGCAGCAGCGGCCGCAACCCGGGCGGTGGTAGCAGCAGCAGCGGTAGTGGCGGTGGGGGTGACGGTAGCCGTGCCAGCAGTGGCTCCATCGGCGCCGTGTCGGGCGCGCGGCCTGCGCCGCGGCGGCTGCGGAGTGGTCTGTCGCTGGTATCGGGTCCGGACGGGCCGCTGCCTGGGGCACCTGCCAGCCCCTTCACGGCGCAGTTCATTCCTGACGCAAAGTCGCAGGCGGAGACAGCTGATGTGGAACTTTCAGCTGCAGCGGAGGACGAAGAGGTGAAAGCAACGCCGCCAACAGTGCCGACAGCGGTAGAGGAAACGTCCGCGGTGGTGGCAGCTGCCGCAGCAGCAACAGTGGAATTGAAAGCCGTGGCCGCAGCTAGCGGCTGCGGCAGCGGTGTCTTCGCCGCGGCGGCGGTGAACGCTGCGGATTCGTATCCCCCTGCTGGCAAGCCGGCAGGGGACGGAGAAGGGGAAGATCAAGTACGTCGACTCAGCTCCAGACAGAGCGCCGTCACCCCAGAAGGACCTGCGGTCGTCATCACCGCAGCTTCAGGCAATGGACCGTCAAGTCCTGCGTTGCTACCGGCGCCGGCGCCGCTCAACCTGGTGGCTGAGCGACATATCCGAATGATGTCGGATCCAGCCGCGCACCCAGTCCTCCCCCGGGGGACCGCGATTGCGGATCCCGCAGACGTTGACGTAGGGCACGTCGTTGCAGATGCGGCAGCCGTCTCCCTGGCAGTGGCTATGTGCGCCACAGCCCCGCCACCGTGCTTTAGCGGCGAGGATTTAACGGCCACGACAACAACCACGACAATGAATGTCACAGCGGAGGAGCAAGGAGCCCTCTTACCCGACGGCAAGCAGTCTCTTTTTGGCACACGTCCAGCCCACAGCGTGCCGATCAAGCGCCTGGAGACAGACGGCCCCGGCGTTGCCGACGATGCCCCGCCGACGCAGCCAGCTGGCGGACGCAACCACAGCGCCAACGGTGTCGGTGCAGCGCCCGGCGGTCCAGGGAGTAGCGGCCATGCGCGTGGCGGCGTGCGGCGCCAGATTCATTCGCTCAAGCGGCCACTGTCGCGTAGCTCCACGCGCACGTACTTAATGACGGCGATTCCAACTTCCACGCTCAACGTGCTAGGGCGGGTGCACTCGCTGCGGCAGATGGAGTATGATGAAGAGGGCAATGTCAATGAAGGTGATGGCGGCGCGGCCGCAGAGGATGTGATTGGTGGAGGCGGTGGCGCGCTTCTGCGCGCGTCGACCACCAATATGGCCCTCGGGCGACGTAACTGTACCAGCGCCACTACGGCCGGTGGTGTTAACCGTTCCAGGTCACAGACGTTGAACGTGGCGGCGGCGGAGCCACGCATGACTGTCCCGCGCATCTTCAGCTTCATGCGCTCCGCCTCGAAGCGGATGCTACAGCAAATGCAAGGCCAGCAGCAGCAACAGCACGCGCAACAGCAGCTGGGTAACACAGCTCCGGGCGGCGAATGTAGCACCGCGCTACCCATGGCGATCTCACCGCAACGGCGGCACACGTTCGAGTTGGCGCCGCTGGATGGTAGCGGCAGCGCTGGCACCCGCGTCCCGGGGCATCGGCTAAGCCATTCGCCTCGTTGGTCGGCAGAGTACCCACCGCCGCGCGCCTCGCCACCGCTGCGGCTGGGGTTGGAACCGGTGAATGCGTCCGCCGAGCCATCGGGATCCGGCTCCGCGAACACAGCCGATGCCGGTGCTGGTGGACGGAACTCGATGACGTCGGAAGAGCCGCTGCAGAAGAGCTCACGAGGGCATGGAGGGATGCCGCAGTCTCCCACGGCGGCAGCGGCGGCCGCAGCAGCTGCTGCGTTGCCGTCGTCCTCAAGCGAGGATGCGGGCTCTGCAGCAGCAGCAGCAGCAGCGGGGCCTGGGGCCATGCCGCCGCTTTACGAATGCGATTCGCTTGCCTCGCCGCTGCTCCCGCCGCAGCTCGCCCGTTTACGCAGCTCGGAGGAGTGGGCCGCCGGGGTCGGCAACGGCGTGATGCGGATGGTGTCGCCACGGGAGATGTCCCCTGCGGAGATGGCACGGCGGGTTGGCTCGGCATGGCACGAGGTGGCGGCCACGAGCTTCACGGACCCCGTCACGGGGGCGCGGGTGGTGGCTCTGGTGCAGGTACGTGAGCTTGAGTCGTGCCCGCGATGCCGGCTCGTGTATCACCGTACCAACGTGCATCAAACGGCTTATGGGGCGGGGGCTCTTTGTGTGAGGTAGGCTGAGCGGCGCTGTCTGAGCCGTGTTGTATTATGGCTGTGAAGGCCAAACTGTTCCAAGATGGGCTGCTGGTTCTGCACACAGACACGATGGTGATGGGACCGTTAGGCCGGGTCTGGTCTTGACGTTTTTGGCCATTTTGGCCAGGATTTGATGTGCGTATGTGAATACAGTGTGCAAGGGTCCGCCTTGCGGGCGAAGCGTGAGGGACCGTTGGACACGCGCCTCCCTTCCGGGCGCTATGGGGACCTTATCCGGCTATGCACCACCCTCCAGGAGTCCGCCATTATGGTTGCCGCAGAACGATGTCAGTGAGAAGGTGGAGACAGAGATGCAGCTGACGGAGCTGATGGAGGTGGAGCACCGCCTGCTGGAACAGGTGAGCGGCCTGCCGGGGGTGTTTGGAGAGCTAGACCCGACGTGCCCGGATACCCTCCCTCCTCCCCCCTCCCCGGGCCCCGCTCACAGTCCCCACCTCGCGACAGCCGGGTAACGACTTGAGTCGCCGGTTTTATGTCCCAGCTCGCCCTACCCCGCGCGCGGCGATGAGGACCGCTTTTCTCTCCCTGAAGTCCCTTTCCACGCGCCTGGCTTGTGCCGCCTGCAGATCTTCCCGCGCCATGTGTTGGAGTACATCGCCATGCAAAACATAAGCGGAACCGCCGCGCAGACCGGCACCGGCGCTGGAGGCGGAGGGAGCGGAGGCGGGCGCAAGCAGAGGCGCATGTCGCAGTTCGACTTGCTCAAGAGCCAGGACTGCAGCCAGCTGGCACACCACCACGAGCAGGTGAGACAAACGGGGGAAGGGAACAAATAAAAGTACAAGGCCGGCAGCTCAGACAAAGACCCCAACGTAAACGGCCTAAGCAGTTACTTACAGGGAATAGATTGAAGGGTTGAGGTAAGGAGAAGACGAGTGACCCAGGCAGCGGTATACGTGTCTGTATGCGTCATCTTAAAAAGAGCCGTCAAGCCCAGGCCAGCACCGGGGCCGGGAACGGGGCCAAGGCCAAGGCCGAGATCCACGCTCGGGAGCATTGAACTTGAGAGAAGCACTGAGAGCGGAGAGAGGGTTGAAGGGTCTGTCCGGCGGACAGAAATGCCCGCCTGAAGGAGGTTGACATCTCCGGCAGGGCCATGGCCCGGCAGGGGGCAGACCCCAGCCTTCCTCAGCCACAGCCCTTACTATCCAGTTGCCTCAAGTGTGTAAACTAAACCTGTGTGTGTGTGCGTGCGTATTTGTGGGTCCGCTCTCGTGCCTCACCGCTACCTTCTTGCCTGGCCGGGGCTCACGCAGATCACCGTGCTGTTCTGCGACGTGAAGGGCTTCACGGTGAGTGTGGGGCCAAGAGGGGGAAGCGACAGGCGGGAAACGGTTACGGGGTCAAGTGTTTTACCACGACTTCAGAAAAAGTACCGATCGGCGGATGCAGATCTCCCGTGATGATGATACGCCCTACAGGGTACTTCAATCGCGCCATCGCGCCATCGCAGCACAGCATGGTGCGAGTACCGGCGTATGGTAGTAGTGAACGGGGCGACACGGGGAGCCCTCGCTGGCATTGGGTCCTGGTCCATGAAGCCGCCACAAATCCTTACCCCTTGTGTTTGGTGCAGAGAGAGGACATCCGCAGATTGTAACTTTTGGGATGAGGCGGGCTGGAATTGTTAGTTGGGGGGGGCTTTTGAACTGCATCCCTTCGCACTAAGTTCCCTCTCCTCTCCCCCTCTCGCTTCCCTCCCTTACCCACCTCGCCCCTCCCCTCTTCAGGCCATGTGTTCCAGTGTGGAGCCCGCAGTGGTGATGTCCTTCCTGAACACCCTGTACACGCAGTTCGACTCGCTGCTGCATCTGCACGACGTCTACAAGGGTGGGCCGGGGGTGGGTCAGGGCGGCGCTGCAGATGTGCTGTAGGTGCGGTGTGAAGCTAGTGTGATGCGGATGAGTGGCCCACGCGTTGGACGCAGGTTACTTCTGTTTATGCTGTCTAGCTCTTTCTATAAGAAAAAATACTCAGTCTTCAGTAGAGAAGGTTGGTAGCCAACTTTTGAGTCAGGGTTGCTTTAATGTATTCTGGTTCAATGCTTAGGAGGGAGGGAGGGAGGGAGGGAGGGACGCTCAGTGTCCTTTGACCTCCTGGCGGCATATGCCTTCAGTGCTCGGTCGCAACGGTGGCGATAGGCAAATGGTTTGTGTGCGGGCGGGCGTGCGCTTTCCCGGGACTCCACACAGTGCTTTTCCGTGTTGTGATCCGGTATGATGTTGGTTTTCCATCCCTTCCCGCCCCGCTAAGCTATGCTCCCGCTCTGCTCGTATACCTCGCAATCCCACCGCGCATTTTTACAAATAATAAAATGGCCATGTTGCCCCCTGCCCCCATCCCCCTCGCCGGGCCCTTTCCGCTGTGCCACGTCCCAACCATCAACTTGCTGCATCACTTGTTGGCATCATTTGAACCGAATTGTGGACGTTGGCGGCCGGCTGTGTGCACGGATGGACGGATGGAACACGTGGCTGGTGGTGGCTTGGCGTTGCTTCGGCACACACCTGATGTGCAGTGGAAACCATTGGTGAGCCCAAACTTCGCCACAACACGGAGCCAGGCTCCGTCCGCGGTCTACCTGGCTTCTACCGAACGGTCCTGCATTCGGCTGGCTATCCGGCCTGTTTTCGGCACCCACACGCTTCCCCTTCCATCGGGCGGGGACCGTCTTGTCTCATCCCAGAGTGCACCTCTCGTCCCCTCTCGTGCACCGTTGCCTCGCTCCCCGTCGCTGCCGTCAGCCCTTCGCTGCAGCCCCCCATTATCCATGCAGCATTTATCTTCTCCTGGACTATCCGTCTTTGGTATCTGCTCTATTCGCCAGTGGTTCGTCTTAACCCCCTACCATCCCCGCCGACTGCGGCTCCTGCAACGACTTCTCTTGGACAGATTTCCTGGCTCTGGCTCACTGCTGGCCTCCCTGCTTCTGAGCGCCTTTATCAGCGTACATATGTGCTTATTTCATTCCCACCTCACCCCGCTGGGTACCTCTTTTAACCCAGTCCGCTGCGTCCTTGGCCCTCACCACCCCACCCCCAATCTACCCCACCCTCCAAGGCGATTGCTACATGGTGGCGGGTGGACTGGTACGGCGGTGTGCTGACGGTGTCGCTTCGCTGCTTGAGCCGGGGGAGTTCGACCCTCATCATGCACGCAAGATCGTCAACTTTGCCAAGGTAAGGACTGGAGAGGGAGAGGAGGAGGAGGAAGGGGAGAGGCGGAGTTGTGTTTACGACCAGGCAGGTGCTTTTTCGCTTCGGCGGGCAAGAGCGGCTCAGGGCCCCCTTGCTAGCGAGTTTAGGCCTTTACCTGGATACTGTCCTCCCAAAGTCCCCACACCCCTGGTCCGCCCCCATGCCGCTCACCGCTGGCGGGCACTTGAGGAAAATGTCCGCGATCGTCCATCCTCCTATAGTTCACGCTCCCTCGGGGGGCTACATGTGGGTTTCGTAGGAGGCCCATGCTTCTGCTTGTTTTTTCTTTCAACTCCCCCACTACTCCTCCGTACCACTACTACCTCTTATCTCCTGGCCATTTTCGCCCATCCCCCATCCCCCATCCCCCATCCCCCAACACACAAAATCCGCTTTAGAATTTTTGGCTTTGGAACGCCTACCTTGACTTTTGAAAAGCGTCTGCACTGGCCTCCGACTTGCGACAAATTTTCATTCTCCTCCCTCTCCTCCGGCCTCAGGACCTGTTGGAAGTGGTTCGAGAGATGCGAATGCCCAACGGCCAACCGCTGCAAGTGCGTGTGGGCATCCACAGCGGTCCCGCCATGAGCGGCGTGGTGGGCACCAAGATGCCCCGCTTCTGCCTCTTTGGCGACACCATCAACACCGCCTCCCGGTGCGAGTCCACCTGCCCGCCCAGCTCCATCCACGCCACCACGGCGGTTCGGGACCTGGTGCCCGAGGAACCCTGGGTGGCCACCGGAGGGGTGATGGTGAGAGTGTGAAGGAGAGGGAGGAGGAAGAGAAGGGTGTTCCAGGAGGTGGAGAATTCGGGGAAAAGTGGTAGTTATGCCTTATGTTCGGAAAGGTGCAGCATGAATGCGGTGGGTGGATAAAACACCCGTAATGCATGCAGATTAGCTAATGGGGTTAATGGGGGCCCGGGGACAGTGGAAGGAGGTGCAGTGGGGAGATTTTGTGGGGCGATTTTTTGGCGAGCTGTGGGGCGAAGAGGCTCCTGCCTTGTTTGTTGAGGTCGCGGTGGATGTGGCAGTGTCAACGCACGGCAAACACCAATGGTTCTGGTGTTAACCCGCGCCTATTGCTCCCCATGCTACTATACCGCCTTGCCCCGCAGGCCAAGGGCAAGGGCATCATGCGTACGTTTCTTCTTGGCCCCAGGGCTACCTCGGCCGGGGCGGTGGAACCAGTCGATGACGGTGTCGTCAGCGACCTGGTGAGCAGCCAGCCTGTGGAGGTGAGGGGGAAACTGGGACTGGGACTTGGCAGCGGCTTCCTGCCGACCCCACGCCCGCTCGGGTCCGGGTTTGGCCCGATAGCGGCCGCGGCAGGCGCCACTGCGGCGGCTGCCGCAGGCCCTGGCGTCGCTGCCGCGATGAACGCCACCACGGGCGCCGCGGCGGCGGCCGCTTCCGCCGCCGCGGCGGCAGCTGCTGGCCGTCATTCCGCTCTGCGACGGTTGGGATCCGGCGTCCGGCGCAACAGCAGCCTGCGCGCCCTCACCACTACCTCTGCCGCTGTGGCCGCCGCCGCTGCTGCAGCGGCGAGCAGCAGCGCCGGCGGTGGCGTACCGAGCAACGTTTCTTTAGTGCCGCCAGGCAGCATTGCCGCCGCGGCAATCGCCGCCGCCGGCGGAGGTGGTAATTCCTCGAGTCCCGCATCGCCCAGCAACAACAGCAACCACCGTCAGGGGTCGGGGGCCAATATGTCCTTTGGAGTCCCGCAGCTGCCCGTCACAACCAACTCCGGCTACCTCCGTCTGCCCTCGACAATGTTGTCATCATCGCCCGCCGACACGGCAACAACCGGCACACTCGTCCGCAACCTTGCGCCGGCTGGAGAACTGCCGTACATTGCGCCGATGATGGACCCCTCACGCGCCGTTGCGGCGGCTGCCGCTGCAGCGGCCGCGGCGGCAGCATCTGCGACAGCGGCCGCTACCGCCGCCCCCATAGACCCTGATGCCGACAGCCTATCGCCCACGCCCGGGTTGCGTGTGGTGAATATAATGGCGGAGGGACAGAGGCTCGCCGCTGGCGCCGATTCCGGCCCGGTATCTCGCGGCGGCGGCGTTAACATTCCATTGCGGCCTCCGCACGGTGTATCGACGCCGGACGGCGGCACCGGTGTCGCCCTCATCGCTGCCCCGACCACCCGCACGGAGCTCGGACCTGACTTCCTGTCTTCAGGCGCGGTGATGCCGGCGTCGGGGCTGTTGTTTGACAGCGGCATGGGCGTCATTGCCACTGGTCCCGTACTGCAGGCTGGTGCGCTGCCGCCCATCGTGTTCGAGGGGCCGGATGAGCACGAGCCTCAGGACCTGGGAGAGAACTTGCGTGCGCCGATGGGCTCAAGGGCTGGCGGGGCCGGCAGCGGTAGCGCCAGCGCCTCCCGCTGACGCCTGTTGGCATCCGCGATCCTTGTCGTCTGCGTCATCGTTATGGCCATTGTGTGGTCGATGTCGCGGTGGCTGGGGCCCCGTCGGAAGCAAAGGGAGGGAGGGACTAGGCGGGTTCTCGTGCCGGGTGGTGAGTTGTATGGCAACTTGGCGATTTAGGTGTGCAACGGGTCGGGGCGGTGCGGGGCGACTGCGGCGGATTTGGGTGAGAAGCTGCGATGTGCTTCTGTGTGTGAGGCTGTGTGAGGCTGTGGTGGCACACCCATTTGGTGGCCGTGCGAAGCTGTCGTGTTGTGTATGCATGGAGTGACCCATGGATCGGTTTATTAACAGAGTCTTGCGACATCTTCGCGGGCTTGACCGCGCGAATCAGGACATTCCTTGGAATATGGGTTCGTGTCGGCGGGGTGTACGGCGAGAAGCTGCGCGAGCAGTGCAGCTGGACGTTCGATGCACAAGAGCTGAACGTAAAGCCATATGCCTTGTCTTTTGTTAAAATAAATATATTTGGCCAATGGGTAATGTGGGGATCTGGTTTAGGAGCTATTGGGGGGATGGCTGCGTGGCTGTGCAATGGCTTCGGCCCATTCGTGATTGGACAGGTGCAGCGCGTGAACGAAGCGTCACGGGGCCGCTTCAAACGGCCAGCTTGCTTGAAGATCATATTGTTGTTAATCGTACTGTTGTTGCTGCTGCTGTCGCTGTTTTAATCGTCGCCGTTGGCCTCTGTATGGAAATTTATGTGTATTGTCGCCGAACAGCCTTGAAGCATACTTCACCAAGGACGCGGTGCCATCTGGCCGCGTGCACGTGTATGTATGTATGTATGTACGTAAGAGCCGGACGTATGTGCAGCCGGGCGTCCGGCGCTGCGTCCAAAGGTAAAACCACAGAGAGCCCACCAGGTATTAAACACATCAATTTGCCTAATGGACGAATGCGTCCCAGGTGCCCTATGAAGGCAAAACGAGGGGGTGACCCGCTGAAGGTAGGTGTTAATATTGAGGTGGATTCCACACGGGGGGACGTGAGTTCGAGGCCAGGGAAGGCAGGAGCTGGGATGTACAGCAAGCACAGGCCGGTAGGTCCTCCCTGCTTGACTTTTCCATGCGCGCTGTTTTATCCCTTGCTTCGCGTTGCACGTACATCAAATACGTACGGGTCCGCGTACATAATTTGCCTTGTAATTTGTCGACACCGTGCTGGACTGGTGGAGACTGTTTTGCTTTGGACTATTTGCTTAATGCGTTGTGGGCTTGGTGCGTTGGATTGAAGTGTTCGCCTTTGTGTTCGTGGTGCTGACACGTTTTGCGCGAACATAAAAACGAATCCTAATCCCTAAGCTGGTTGTTTTGGTGGTGATAGAGTTGCGGATTTTACCCAATCGGCCACAAAGGTTTGCCGCGCCACTGCGCCTCGCCTTTGTGACCCTGGGGTTCTTGGGCTTCATTTCAGGGCAATGCATGAAATTCATGATGCGAGCTGAGCTGAGCTGTAGCTGCAGCTACACCCACGGCAGTAGCGGCATGAGCTCCTCTGGGCACCATAGCCGCCTGACAGCACCGGCTTCTCTCGCCGGAGGGGGGGGTCCATGAGATGGCGGTGTTTGGAAATGTCGTAACCGCTATCAGGCATGGACATGGAACGCGGTTCTGGGCCGCAATGAACAAGAGGAAGAAGCGCTGGCGATGAGCCATTAGGAAGGGGGAGCTCACGGCCGGGGGACCGCATGGAGGCGCACGGCACGGCTAGCTACCTGCATGGGTGTCTAGCTGCACGAACGGTCTTAAGCGGCGCACCTATGCGCGGGGCGGCGGCTTTAATGGCTTCAAGCTGGGGCACTACTGCCTTTAGAGTTAGGCCGCGTCAAATTTCTGATGCGGTCGACGACAGATATCTCCGCTCTGACTTTTCTTTAATGCGCACGTATAAACACACGGCTTTCCCTGAAACCACGCGTGGGAGCGTCTGGATGCCGCTCGTTGAGCTCGGAGAGGCTGTGGTGTGTGCGTGGGGCCGCCGGCCGCTCTGTGGTTGACGCCACTACGCGGTTGCGCGGGGTGCGGCGAAGCTCTGGCGCGTGCGTGCGTCCTATATTTCTTGTGAACTGGCAAGCGGGCCGATTCGACCTAGTGTGCATGAGCTAGTCTGTTCCTTCAAACACATATGCCTCGGTACGCCGTCCTGGCGGCGAAGCCTGGTACCATGCCAGCCGAAATGAAAGCACCAGCTGACTGTACTGGGCTATGAACTTAAAGCTCTAACGGGCGTGCATCGCAACCTTATTCATGGCTTATTCTTGTAGTCGTGGTTGGACACATTTACCTGCTGACTGCATGCCGTTCTGATCTCGAGGACCCCTATTGGCAAACCCGTGCTTACTCCTCTTCTGGGCCCCAATGTGACATTGCGAGGTTGGCGAGACTTCATGGCACCACGGGAACCTTCACTCAAACAGAACTGTAGCACGAAACTGTTCCGGAACAGCCGCGGAGGCGGCCCCTTTGCGCAGTTGGATTCATCTTTTCGATATGGAAGAAAAAACGCCTGCTGGTGGTTTGGAGTAGAACACCGCGAATTGTAGCAGCGGCTGGGGATGGTGTGCTTGTGTTTTCGTTCTGCGACGCTAACCGGCCATACGCGTAATTTTGTGTTACCATGTGTTATTCACCGTACGGACCTGGTTATCGTTTATTAGCAATAACATCAACAAGTTATGTTCGTGTCGATGGGTCGCCCTGTCTGACTGAGTGCTTGCGGAACACGCTCTTGGCTGCGGTCGGGCGGGCGGTTGCCTTGCAATCCGCGATGCGCGTTCACTTCCACCAGCAGAAAGTGCAACATCATTACGAGCAATCGCTTGGTAGGGATACAGAGAATGGAGATATATAGTGCTTTCATAGGTACATGAACGGTGTGGGGGCGCTGGGGGCCTCGGAGCTGCTGTTTGGGGCGAGGCATCGTCTAATTGTAGACTGTACGTCAAGTGAGTTGTCAGATTCCTCGCCCTTGCCATAATTGCAGACCTGCTGCTTGACCGTAGCCGGCGAGTTGATTTTGAAGCGCTTCCTGTGCACTGCTGTTTTTGCATGATGCCGAAGCTGCACCGCTGTTTTGCCTTCGCCGTGTATAAGAACTGTTGGTAGCGGCGCTGGGATGTGCTTTCGTACGAAAGGGCATACAAGAGGAAGAGGGGGGAATGATTCGCCAATCCACACGCAGCCTGCATGTTCGTCACAACTGCTGACGCAAGCGATGCGATGCCATAAGCATAGCTGAAAGCCAAGGCTGCCCAACCACCCGCGTCAGGACTTCTCCATGATGGCGAATTCCCTGTGACGAGGTGCTCTGCTTTCGAATGGGTGACTGTACGACCCGCTCGTTCCTGGCTGGTGCCTAAGGTGGCTGAAGTAATCAATGACACCGAGTGTTGTGCTGGTAATTTTTCGTGCGACTGATGCGAGGCGCACCGTTACAGTGTTCAGTGTCACCTTGTTACCTCCACGCAGAGAGAGATGGTGACACCTTCGTTAAGGGATGGCCTGAGCGCCTACTGGTCCATCGAAGCACAGGCTGCTAATTGCCAGGTGCTACTGGCAAATGCCCACGATGCGATGATATCGTACTGCCTAATAAACTCACAATTCACTCATCAACGCGCGCCTACACCATGAAATCAAAGACCAAACACTGTATGACAACCAACACAAGAAGCCAGGTGGGCGCTGACGTGTCCGCCTTTGCTTTCGTCAAATTACATACAAGACCTTAGCTTTAATATCCCGATTCGCTTGTGTACGCAGACTTTCAATAAGTTAACTTCGGAACGCATGATCTGGACGGATGCGTTGGGACCACACAGCTGCAGAGGGATGGGTGACCTGGAGGAACGAACATGCCAGGCCTTTCACCTCGCATGTGCGTGTGTTGTTGCGTTCGGACAGTGAGGCGTGCGATCTGCTTACAGAGCGCGAGTGCCCCCTTAAACATCATTCCGAAACAAGTCACGCATTAAAGCCATTAAGGGAAGCGACACTCGCGTCCCCCAAGCCACGTTTCCCCCGGCTCTCATGCCGGCCTCTTTACACTTCTCACCCTAGCCAAAGCCCCTGAATGTCACCTGTTACTACACAGCGACTTCGGTGGGGTCGGGCCCTGATCCCAGCGTGGTTCAACATCGCACTCAGTAGACGTTAGATTCACTCGTGTTGAGTGCGATCACGGAAGCAGCAGCAGCAGCGCGTGGTACAATTACAAGTCAGCGGCGATATTGGGCAAGTCTGCACAGCGCCCTCAATCCTGCTCCCTTCCCACACCCCATACATCAGTTGTTACGCAGCCGCTCTTCACACACGCGGACTGAACTGGCCCCAGTCTATCAGGAGAGCTATCTGCCCTCCCGGATGGCTGTACTGTACACAACCCTAAACACTACACTTGTCTCCCGTCAGACGCACCGCTACTAATTGTAAACGTCTGACACAAGCTGCTAGAATAAAGCATACTGGTCACAAACCCTTCCGAAAAATTCCAATATCCACATTACCAAAGGATCTCGCACGTACCTGCATGCTCCATATGTATAAATGTGTTGGGGCATAGCGCCCTGTGCCGAAAAGTTCCTCCGGCAATTACATATGCTAAACGACAACCAAATGCAAAACACAGTCCAAACGCTTCGGATACCGGTCCGCACAGCGAAAGCACATGCTAAAAGCCAATGACGTGGTTATGTTCTCCCGGAGACGCTCCTCGGTGCAAGGCAGCATCCTCCGCCCCACAACAATCCCCCGACATCCATATGGTGGTCCTATATGGTAAACTGCTGCAGCACTGCGTGCTCAGTGTCGTGGCTTTTGAGGAGCCCTGAAGTCAGTGACGACCTCCGCCACAACTGCAACTCGGCGATTAGCGCACCTAGCACGAAGTTGGTGTTGTCCCTGACACCAACACCAATTTGTAGACAACCCTTAAAAAACCCAAATCATACCGCATGGTCAAAAGTCACAGCAAAACTCCCTGCGCTATACGAACATATACATACACCCATACCCCACATCAATGCCTACTGTGTCAACTTGCTGCATCCATGATTAGCTAAACCGCTGTCACCATATTATGGTAGATAGATAGACAGGTAAACAGATAAACATGTCACAGAACCGCACTCGCACACCCACGATGGCCGAGAGCATGTGATATACGACACAGCAGTGCACAAACAGCTGCAACCTACAGCTTGTTGGGAGCCAAGGGGCTGCCTCCCGGGAATAGGAAATTGGAGGGTTATTGTTGTTTTATTGACGGGTTGCTGTTGTGGGGGGCCGCGTTTCGGAAGCAACTGAGCTAAACTCGAGGGGCGCGCAGGTAGCGTGCACCCAGACCATAATCAACTGAACCAAGCACACACTCATTTAAGCAGCGAAGTATGCGCGCGGTCAGTCAGGCGCACTGTCGCCGGCATGGGAACACCAGCTTCCCCCTTCCAGGGGCCAACCCCCAACCTATGACTTCAAAAACCCCGTACCGTCCTCGGGTCCATCAGCACTAGATATCCCCAAAACGCCATGCACCGAGTTATGCTTCGTGAGGTGGAGTTAAGACGGGCAGCACCAACTTGCATTTCCGACACTGCAACTCCAGGGGTCTCAACAGTTCTAAGGAACCTCGGAACAGGTGATGTTGCCAAGGAGCTGCAGGTTCTGGCGGACTGCACACTGAGGGCGATGACACAAGACGTGTGACCGCAACTTAAGGTATATGCATTACCGTCCGCATTGCATTGCCTTCCCATACTTTTCCGTTCCCTACGTAATGAGTATTGCGCGCCGTCAAACAGCAACAGCGGCTTTTATTCTGATGGGGGACACGGCCGGGAAGCCCCGCATCAGCAATCCCACGGCCTGTACGGGACCCACACGCGCACGCAAGTGTTTTCTACCAACAGGCTCAACTGCGCCAAGCAGCAAGCCTCCGGACAGTTGTCGCCGCAGGGTGCCACAATCGGGTTTGGACACTCGACAATGCAGGAGACGTAAGTGTACAGGTAGGGTGACCGAACCCTTACGAGTGCAGGGTATAGGGGCGCAGCACAGCGCGGCGCGTTGCAGGTGTGCGGCGCAGGGGCCAGCAGAGGCGCTCTCCCCAGCATGCCCTGGAGCCCTTAACAGCCCTCAATTGCAATTAAGCCACAGCCAACCACACCGATAACGCACAAACCTTGCCTGACCCGCCAACACTCATTTACGTCCAAAATTAACCGCCAAAAGCATCGAAAGCCATGCATTCTTAAACCCCGTCCATGCATCCTAGGACCTTATCGCGGGTTGCCTATTATTTTGATATGAAGGCTGTCCGAAACTGCCCCGCCACAACCCAAACCTAAAATGAGACCAATCCACCAACCGCTCCCCCAGCAAGCTTTTCTTCAACGACGGCTTCCGAGCTCTTCAAGACGCCGCCTTTTCCTTTCCCCCGCTCTCCCAAGAATATATGATACTAGAAGATGTCCAGGAGAGATGATAAAGTTTAGGCCGACAACAAAACAGGGCCTGGCCAGGTCCCAGAAAGTGCAGGATAGCATGTACCCAGCCAGGGGCCCATGCGCGGACAAGAATAAATCACCAACTGCAACATTAGCACTATCAAATATCAATTTTGGCCTGCATGCCCCTCACGGCCCAACATGCGGTCAACACACACAGCCGGGCCGGGCGAGCCTCCCTTCCCAGTCATCGCCCGCCGAGGATGCACAACGGGGATATATACCCCACGCCCGCAAAAGCAAGAAGGATCACTTAAACGCGTCCTGGCTTTCCTCCGTAGACGACTGCTGCCTCAAAGGCGGCCGCGCCGGTGGCCCGCTCAACGCTCGCTCGCCGCTGCGTATGCCCGGCACTGTATCGACGTCAAACCTCGCCAGAATCGACGCCTGGCGCTCCTCCTCCTCCGTCTTGAACTCCATGCTGATCTTCCCCCACGGTGGCGGCGTAGGACACCCCCCAGCTCCTGCAACCCCAGTCCCTAACCCCAGGCCAGAAGCAGCACCGCTGCCACGGGCTCCCGGCTTGGAAACGTTGGTACCAGATGCACGTGCCCCTATCCCGCCGCTGCCGCGCAGGCCTGTCGGCGCCGGCGCGCTGGCAGCAGCGGCGCTGAAGGCCAGCGGGTGAGAGGAATGTAGGACGGAGCTGCTGGCAGCGGAGAACCGAGCCAAGGAGGCCAAACTGTCCGCCGTCAGAGCCACTGGCCGGAGCTGCGGAATGTCGGGCTCGGACGAGGGCTCGGGTCCCCGCCTACGTTGGTTGGGTTGCCGTGAAAGGGGGGGGGACAAAAATTAGGAAGAACGCTGTCGGAGGGGCCGAGGGTTCAGCTGCTTGCGGCGCCATCAATCGACAACGATACCGATGTGGCTGTTCTCGTAACCGTGGCTTTGAACACTGGTAGACGGGCGTTGGGCTGGTGCCAAGGCCCTGGTGGCAAGTGGGTTCCACAGCAGTGGGCGAGGGTGTGCCTAGGCGCGGCAACTGGTCGGACGCAAACTAAGGACCGGAGATTGTTTTGTGTGCCCTCGCCTCGCCTGTGCGCTTCATTGCATCGCGCAGCTTACTGTACGACGTCCGATGATTTTCCCAATGCCCCCTTGCGCTGCCCGATGTAACGCCCGAACACATTAATGGAAGAGGAGTCATCACGCGACAATACACTCACAAAAGGTATCCATAAGGTAGAATACCTCTCCACAGGCAAAGTTCATCCGCCGCAAAAACGGCATCACTTCTGCACACAGACCGCTCCTATGACGCCGACGCATTATATCTAACCCCCGCGTCCCTAGATATCCTGGACATGTAAACTCACAATCCTTTCCCGCCCAGCTCGTCACCGTTGCCAGCGCCGTTGTCGTCGTCGTCGTCGCGCCCGCCGGACCGCTCGTCCAGGCCGTATCCCTGGAAGTTCAGCACCGCCATCTCCAGACGGTTTTCCAAAATGCGGCGCACCTCGCCCCGCAGCTCCTCCACCTGGCCCTCCGTCAGCTGTGACGTACCGCGCGCCACCGCCGCCGGGCCGCCCCGCACGCCGCGCACCGCCAGCAGGCTCTCCCAATAGTTGGGCAGCTCCAGCAGGTTATCACACGTATGAGCCTGAGGAGGGGTAACGACGGCAGCGAGGGATGACGCGATACAGTCGGCTTCAGCCAGGACATGCTGCGGCTCGATACGTTTGTATTTAAGGCCAAGGGCATAGGGAGAGAAGAGCAGACAAAAGGGCCATGATGCAACTCAACTGCCGCGCCGGTGGGCTTAACGACAAGGGGCTTGGCGACTTGCACCAGGGCGCACGTCGAGATGCCTTCTCCTCCGCCGTCTTGCACGGGAGGAGAGATTTCCTCCTTCGTCCCCTCCTACTTTTACCGGGTGGGTATTCACACACGTACTAAGCCGAGGCCCAAACTACCCGGACGCGCCTCCTGGGCCCTGTGGGTTGGTCTTCTTGGACCTCTCCGTTTCCCTCTGTCAACCCCGTCCTCCTCGTCCAGCAGCTCACTCCTGGTTTTATGAATTTAACTCTATAATTGATATGCTCCGTACCTGCCTTCAGTATTCTTTTCCTTTGGAGCCGAATCCTCGCCTATCCCAAACAGCCTCCCGCCACCGCCACCGCATCACCGACCCTTACCTGTGGCAGCATCCCCAATGTCGCCTTGTGCTCTGCCGCGCCCATCGCCACAAACGGGGCCTGGATCTTGAGCAGCTCGCTGCCCGGAAGCGGTAGCCGCGACGTGCCTGTGACAAACTCCACGAACCGCAGCCGCCGCTCTGGCGACCACTCCGCCAGGACCGCCCACAACAAATCCACCAACACGGCGCTATTCCCCGAAAGCTCGTCGTCCAGCGCCAGTCGGAACAGAGAAGAAAGGTCTGCGGGTGGCTCGCCCCCGGCACCACCGCCTGCGGCTGTGCCGCCAGCCACCAGCACCGCTAGCGCCGCTGGCCTCAGCTGCCAGGCCCGCAACAGCTTGCGGTCGACAGCCGCAAAGAACCCACTCGCCAGCGCCTCCGACTGCCACGCCACGTCGTCGCGGAGAATCCTGCGCACAGCATGCTGCGTGTAGAGCTCCGCTGACCAGTCCAGCGGCAAGCCCTCAAGCTCCAGCATGCTGCGTAGCTGGTCCGCCGGCAACGACGCCACGTTGCGCACACCCGCCGCGGCGTCAGGGTCGAATTCCGACAGCATGTCCAGGGAGGGGAGGAACCCGCCGCCGCCGCTGCCGCAGTCCGTGCCATGGCCCTCCAGTACCGCGCGAAAGAGTACTGCAGGCAACGGCAGCCCCAGCGGCGCGCGATTGAGCAGAGACTGGCCCAGCAGCCAGCCCGCAAAGTTGTAGGCGTCACGAAGCTCCTCCGACTCTGTTAGGGTGGTGTTGTACCAGTATGCGCCCGCGGTGCGGTTGAAAACCCAGAGCGCTGGCCGGCGGGGGACGTTGCTGTCGGCGCCGACCGGCCCCGGAGGGCAGTCCGGCAATTGCTGTTGCAGCTGCGATCGCTGCTGCTGTTGCTGGTGTGCTTGCCCTGCCATATCTTGACCGGCCAGGGAGAAGAACTCTTTGCGAGGCCCGTGGCCCTCGCCAGCCTCCACAGCCGGCTTGCGGCCGCTGCCGCCCCGGCCGCTACCGTCCTGCACATTCGGCAAAATAAATGACGCAGCATGGATAAATGTTGTAATAATGAACGCGATCACGGCGTCTCAGGAGGTCGATGTGCACTTTTATGTGCGCGCTTGCTAGCTGCTTGCGCCGAGAGCAGGGGAGTGAATCGACACCTTCTCCTGTTCACAACCTCTAACCCGGACGGCATAGATTAACAATCGTCAGCACTCGCTTCCAAGATGTGCAATTTCACCTCCGACCCCACAAAAGCCCTCTTGGCAGGGAACATAGGGCGTTAAACGCGCGTCGTGCGCTTTGTTGTTGTACAGAGCTATGCGGTCCTACCTGGCTATACACATCCACAAAGGCTGGGAAATACTTGTAACACATCGGTTCCGCGGGCAGACCGGCGCCACGGAAGGCCTCAAAGGCATCCCAGAAAGCCGCGGAGCGCCGCACCGTCACATTAGTGCGCTTTTCACCTGCGGTACGCACACAACGCCGGGGCCGCACTGCTACATGAGAAGCACGATGTGCGATAAGTTGTGTACAAGTCGGAGTAAAATTGAGGCACAGTGCATGCACGGCTTCAAGGTGTTACAAAATAAAGGCAAGAGTGCGCGTGGTAATTCCCTGGGGGGATTCAGGCAAGAGCAGCTTCATGTGTGCGGCCCCCATGCAACCGAAAAGGGGAAGAGTGCACTTCCACGCTGCGCTGCCGTGCATACATACGCGTGTATGACTAGGGGAGATTCCCGATAGAAGGTCACGCGGTCCGTATGGGGCCAATCCCAAGCCTCAACCCGAGGAAAGACCCACTCAGGATCAAGGTTACTCTCTGCAGCGGGGCCGGATGCATCTGGGTCTGGGTCCGGGACTGTGTCTGCTTTTGCGTATGAATCCCAACCGAACCAGCTACGAGCAGCAGCGACACTGAGAGCTGCACGGGAGGCCACTAGGGGAAACGGGGGGCGAGCGAGGGGGAAAGGCACGAGGCCATCTTCCCGGCAGTCAGCGGCCACAACCTTCCCGGCACTTGCGCTCTCCGTGCCGCCACGGATTTGGAGCACCGCCTTCACACACACCTGAGGAGGACACCTGGTTGAGGTAGAGCAGCATGGCCCTCGCCTCCGGCCCCGTGCATGTAGCCAGCTGGACGTCCGACCAGCCGATCTGTTCCCGAAGCTGCTGATACTGGTCCAGTTTGCTCTGTGCAGAATCAGGCGTTTCCAGAACCACCTTGCGGAAGAAGATAATGCCCAGCATACCCATCAGCTCGTCGAGAGCGGGAACCTGCGGTGACAGGATGGAAGTGATTATTATCAAGGACCCCTCCAGCGGGGCTCTGTGGGAAGCCAACCCCAGCGGCTGTGGTGGGAGGTTGCGTACCCGGCAGGTGGAATCTTCCAGGGGAGCTTTGTGCGCATCATAATGCCGCCGCAGCTCATGGATAAGTTCAATGAGAGCGACGACTGGTCTGCCCACTTCCATGACGCCCAGGTCGTAAACGGCGTTGCATGCGTCTTCGAGCACACCCAGGAAATCAGGGAACTCTACTTGCTCCCAGCTTGTCAATTCTGACCATGAAGTGCTAGATTGCCGGTTGCTGAGCACTCGGTTGATATGGACAAGGACAGGTTGGAGAATGGAGTTACAGCACTGTACTATCCGTTTGACAACGTCTATGACACCAGTAAGATCCTTTGGCGATGTCAAGCCACGGAGTGCGCCAGGTAACTGCTGCTTGAGGACCTCGAAGAGTCGCTCTGCCAGGCTTGCGAGTTTATCACCTCCGACCCTCTCGGAGCATAGGCCCTTCAATTCATCAAGGACGTCCGTTGGGCCTTGGTCCAAAGGTAGCTCTGTATCCTTGCCAACATTAACAAACGCGGCCTTGCCCTGTTGGCGCTGCTGCCGGGAAGCCGCGCCCTCGCCTGACGCAATTTGTTGCTGCGCAGGCACAACCTGGTTCTTCTTCCAGGGTTTGCTGCTGTCATCAGACCGCTGCCATCCATACGGTACGCCCCCACCTGGCACCGTTAGGGAATCCACAGATTTTGAGGTATTGCAACCCATTCACGTCAGACGCAGCAAAGGAGAACCGATGTAAAGTAGCATTCTACTTAATAAAAACAAGCAAATAACAATCCAGGCTCCATGGCAGCCCTCAGGAAGCGACTGCTCAACCCTGTGCGCTCTGATAACCTAGCATGCTGGCAAGGTGTGTGCTAGACAAAGCGACTAGACAAAATAACTTTACTCAAAGAACGATAGCGTTGGCAGGTCCAAGGTGGCGTCGACTTAGAGATTACAGATTCTCAAGGTTATGTATAACGGCATAGGTTCTAATCATAAATGTACAAGTGGGAAACCCTGAAGTGGTGCTGCAAGGTTTCTCGTCTATTGTTTCTGCTCGGTACGGATAGCGTAGATAAAGTACACCCGACTCAAGTTCGCAGGCTAAGGCCCAACGCAATTAGGTTTCCAGCGCTTCTCATTTGAGAAAAGGAAGTGCAAGCCATCCTGAAACTGTTATGGATAGTCCAGCTCGGTAAGACCGTTTTTAAGAAACCCTTCTACGCGGTCCGTTGGCCCCAGGGTTGAGGTTGGCCCTTTTCATGGCGTGGAAATCCGGGCCGGCAGGATGAATCGGGGCATAAGCTTTTAACAATGCAATCCTTAGCTTGGGAGCCAACTCCATGGCCGTTTATTCGTAATGTTAGTGTCCACTTGCTCGTAAAAGCCTTACCTTGGCGCTAACAGGGACCCAAAGATTGTATCGAATCCCTAAGGCTACTGCACGGGCATAGTGCAGTGGCGGAAAAGAAAGCCGCTTGAAGTTGAAAACATCCATGGACGCATTCTGTGCACGTAGCGCGTACTGCTGAAATGCCAGCCACGCGAGCCAACTGCGCCTAAACCAGCCAACAATCCGACAGGAATCATAGCGTCCTGACCATTCGCACGATAAGAGAGTAACCGACGGGGAGTCGTGCATTGCTGTGCATCAGCTATGTACGGTGATGCACCTGGCTCGCTTTCCCGATTTCCCCCCCCCCGTGCTTACCTCACTGCCAAACCGCATGCCCTACCCTATGTCTGAACTCTAAGAAACACTACGAGCACACCCCATGCCCCATGTACATGTCTCATGATGATCGCAAACAGTTGTTCATTTTCAAAAAAGACAAGCACGGTGTCATTCGGAATCTTAAAACAAAAATGCTGCTGGTAGACACTACCACGACCAAGTGCACCAAGCTGCTGCCGGGACAGGATATAAGTTCATAAGGGACCATTGTGGCATCCATCCATCCGTCCATCGATCTTAACCCCCCACCAAGCAACTACATGCATGAGCTTTACGGGAAATTAGCAAGCAATTCGGCGACAGGTCTACCTTTCTGTCCGAATGTCTATCTGTCTGTCTGTCCGCCTACCGGCCTTCCTGCCTGTCTGTCTGTCCGTCTACCCGCCTTTCTGTCTGTCTCTCGTCGCGATGTCAAAACGAGGGCGAGGGCCCCAAAATGGGCTGAACGAAACACCTCCTCCCTCAAGACCAATGACCTCCACCGCCTTCAGTTGCTCCTACTCTTCGACCTCCTACGCTGGTCCCCAGTTTTGACTGGCTGCCGACTTCGACTCCGAAACCCCAACACTACAAACACCAAAGGTAACCGTAAACTGCACAGCTCAAAACCAAAAAATCACTACCCTCTGACGCTATTCAGTCCTGCTGCCTGCCGCCGCCTGCCGCTGCAGCAGCCCCTCACCAACGCCCACAGCGCCGGTGAGGGCAGAGCTGAACCAAGAACTTCCTGCGCTGAGCTCCCCTCCTGCGCCCTTCCCTACTCTTTGCATGCCCCCCAGCCTTCCCCGCTTGGCTTTTCGCCATAGTTAGGCTCCCTTCTGTTCGTTGGGCCCTTGCCCAGTCTCCCTCCTCAAGCGGGGCCCCGCTGCACTCTCCCCCTTGAACCTCCCACCTCCCCTACGGATGTCGTAGCTACCCCTTCCCCGCTGTGGAGTTCCGCCCTAGGTACCTGCGTGTTGTTGGCCTCTCTCATAAGGCCCCTAGGTCACCGAGGTTCACCCAAATGCCCCCTGCACTGCGGCACAGAAGGTCAGCACCTCATCAACTACTGTTGCAGCTGCGGATGGGTGTGCGGCGGCATTCCGTTAGACACCGGCACCATGCCAGTCGGCAATACAGGCTGATGGGGGTGCTGATGGGGGTGCTGCTGCATGGACCCATAAGGATGCGGCGGCGCGAAGGCGGGCTGCGAATGCTGCTGTGTTTGCTGTTGTTGGTGCTGCTGTTGGTGCTGCTGATGGGCATACTGCTGTTGGTGGTGCTGCTGTAGCGGGACGTGTTGCGGCGGATAGTGCTGCTGCGTCATTTGCTGCCCCTGGAGCTGTTGGTGGTGGTGGTGCTGCTGCATGTGCGGGGCTGCTGCTCCGGGGTATTGCGTCCCCCCTCCCCCTGGCTGCTGCTGCGTTGACTGCTGTACTTGTGTAGCAGGCGTATAGTGCTGCTGCGTCGATTGCGTCTGTGCCTGTTGCGGCAGATGCCCTTGCACTGCTTGCGGCTGGCCCTGCTGCTGCTGCTGCGTCTGTGCCTGAGCTTGAGCTTGAGCCTGGGCTTGCTGCTGTAGCTGGGCCTGTGCCTGCAAGGGGATTAGGGCCCAATCATAAAAGCGAAAGGGAAGTGAAGTCGACGACGCGACACCGGGCGGTGCGAGGCGGTGCATGGCAGGGCAGCGCTGCTCTATCCCTTTCGAGAAGCAAACGGAGACTTTAACCAACTATAAAAGTTATAGGAGACAGTTACGCGGAGACTTAACCGTAAAAGCATTTCAGCACCACCTTAGCCTCCCCACCATAGCTATCTTGCGAGGGCCAAAAAAGGTGCCCTCCCTCCCTGGCGTCAACAACACAGACCCGGCGGCGCACCCACCTGCGACGCCGCCATGATCCGCTGCTGCAGCTGCATCTGTACCTGCGCCTGGAACAGCTGCTGTGCGTGTTGCAGCTGCAGTTGTGCCTGCTGTAGCTGCTGCGCGTGCTGTGCCTGTGAGCCATGCGGCGCTTGCTGGTGCAGCTGCTGTGCATGCTGTAGCTGTTCCTGTGCCTTCTGCAGCTGCGCCGCAATCTGCAAGTGGTGCTGCTCCTGTAGCAACGCCTGCGCCGTGGCCTGGACCTGAGCCGGAGTGAGGAGAGTGCCAGGCACGAAAGCGCGGGGAACCGCCAGCGCTGGCGTCGCCGCCGCCGCCGTAGCTGCAGCGGCCGGCAGTCCTGCACATCCCGGCGCAGTCATGAGCGCGGGCGGCTTCATAGGTCCGGCATTCGATCCTGCAACAGAATAGATTCGAAAGAGGCAAAGTTTTGTTTGGTGTGCGTGGGTGGGTAACTAAATGCAAGAGAAGCAAAATGCCAACTGCCAACCTTTGGGGGTTTGGGGCAATGGTGGGGAGGGGCAGGTATGAAAGGATATAACTGGAGACGAGCGGCACAGGCACAGGCACGGGGTCCTTGCTCGTTAGTCCGCCAGCGCGGTATAAATTGGTTCACCAGCTGGAATGGCAAACAACCACGCCGTGTCGCGCAGCAATCAACGCTACCCGATGCCAGGGAACATAATTTGTCGCTGCACTCCTAAATCCGTAGATCGTAAAGCTCGCTCTTGATTAGAGTTTTAATGGTACAACCCGGCGGTGGTAGGTGACCAAAAAGGTAACAAACTGTTAACCAACAACCAAGTCTAAAAGGAGTTATGAAAGGTTCTGAGCTGGTTTTCTGTTTCTCCTGACGTTACACGCGATAGACTCCTCACCAGGCAAACCGGGGACCGGTGGGAGCCCGCAAGCTGGCGGGGCCGCAGCAGACCCGGACTGGGGCCCCGCTGACGGCTGCTGCGGCCGTACATGCGCCAGCATGTACTGCTGCTGCTGCGCTGCTGACGAGGCTGCTGCGGCTGCAGCCGCCGCAGCCGGGGTGTTGCAAGCTACTGCAGCCTGTGGCCTGGGAGCTCCAACACTTGCTGCTGCCAACATGCCCGGCTGCTGCTGCTGCTGCTGTTGTTGTTGCTGCTGTTGGTGGTCCTGGTGGAATGTGTGGGAGCTCAACCCTCCCGGTCCGCTAGTCACGGGTGTGGGTGCAGGAGCTGGGTTACTAGTCCCTACGGCCTGGGGCCCTGGCCTCATGGGCTGCGGGGGAAGGGCCGTAGCTGCTGCGTGCTGCTGCGGCAGCCGCTGCTGGTGTTGCTGTTGCTGCTGCGACTGGCATGCGGGGCCACCGGCACTCTGTCCGTTCGGCGTTTGGTGATGTAGCGCGACGCCTGCACTTGCCTGGCTGTGTTGCGGCCGCTGCTGCTGCTGCTGCTGCGTTGTATTGCCCCATTGATGCGGCTGCGGCAATCCATGATTAGGATTCTGGTGGCTCAGTGCTTGCGCTGGAAGCGATCGCTGGGAAGGCAGTTGCTGGTGCTGCTGCTGACCATTTTGCTGCTGATGTGGGTGCGTGTGCGGATGGGGTTGCTGATGAGGATGAGCCCTGGGGCCCGCCGTTTGCTGCTGTTGGTACTGCTGCTGGTGATGCTGCTGGTGGCACGGTCCCGGCGGCACGTGTGTGGCCCCGGCCCCGGCCCCGGCCCCGCCACAGGTCGGCCTGGAGCCCCCCGGCATCGGCATCATCATCCCTGGAGTGGGGATCATGCCACATGTCGTCGACATCACGCCATGCCCTCCCGGTAATGTGCCTCCGCCTCCACCGGGCCCCGGCGTTGCGATCATCATGAACGTGCCAGGCACGGGAGTCAGTGAGGCGCCTCCGCCAGGTGTGGGAATCATGCCGCCTCCGCTGGCCTGCTTGGGCCCTATGCCTCCAGGTCCCGCTCCAGGTGTGGGTATCATCCCCGGCCCCGAGCCAGGTGTCGGCATCATGCCCGGAGGCATCAGCCCGTTGGAGCTCTGCCGCAGCGCACCACTCATGGTCCCGCCGGGGGCCCCCCCCATAGCCGCCAGGGGCATCAGGCCAGGGGCCTTGGAATTAGGGGGCTGGGTCCCGACCAGACGCTGACCCGGCGGCGCAACTCCGCCCATAGCCCCCGATCCAGCCGTCTGGCTGGGCAAGGGTCCAGTCCCGCTGCGCTGCATGGGCTGGCCCGACCCCAGCACCGGCCCTTGCCCTGACACCTGCGCTGGCTGTTGAGCTCGCATAACTGCCGCCGCGCCGTTGCTGCCGCTGCCACTGGCGACGCCAGGAAGGGGTCTTTGCTGTGGTACCCCGGCGCCAACACCGACAGGTCTGGGTCCAGTCACCAGCATCTGGCCTCGCAGCCGGGACCCGGGCCGCAGCAGCTCCTGAACCGCTGGTCGTTTCCGGTTCGCAAAGCCCGCCGCCAGCAGCACACCGGGCGATGACCCTTGCGACCCAGCTGCTGCACCAACCAGCCGCTGCTGCTGCTGCTGGTAGTGCTGCACCGGGGAGGTGCCTTGAGGAGGGCCGGATTGAGGGTACTTGGCGGTACTTCTCCCTGCTACATCCGCATCCCCACCCGCGCCAGGGGGAGCTGACGGGGGATGCGGGAGGGCTGAGGCCGCCGCGGCCCCGACGGGACGTTGGGATGCTGCTGCTGCTGCTGCTACTGCTGCCGGGTCGGTCCCGAAAGCGCCATTGGCGGGCTCCTCCATAGCCGTGGAGATGTCCTGAGGCAAGGAGGACGGAGGTTCCGACGCGGGCGGGGCCGGGGCGCTGGCTTTTGATGCTGCCGAAGGTACAGTGGCGTCCTGCTGTGTTGCTGCTGCTGCGCCTCCTCCTCCTTCTCCTCCGCCGCACGCCGCCTCCGCCGCTGCCTCCATATCTTCCCCTTCCGCCACGTCCTCCGATTTCGCCGCTGCCGCAATTGCCGTCGCCGCCGCAATGCTCGCCTGCCGCTGCTGCTGCCGTTTCGTTGCGTGCTGTTGCAGCGACTGCGGCTGTGCACCGCGCTTAGCGGCGGGACTTGCCCGCGCGCCGCACCCAGTTCCTTCCTTAGGCCCAACCGCGCAGCCAACCGCCGGCGCGGAGGCAACGCCTCCGTTGCCGCCCGTGGCAACGGAAGAGAGGCCAGGACCTGCGCCATTTCCCGCCCCACATCCCGGCTGCACTGCAGGGCCCCACCCCGTCGAGCTCCTTTCTCCGCCGCAGCGATCCTGGGGCCCCTGCGCCCCGCTGCACGCCGCCGCCTGTGTCGTGCCGCCGGCAGCTGGCGCAGCCGCCGCCGGCTGACCCGAACTCGTTACCCCGTTCTTTATCCTGATCAGGCGCTTGGGCGCGGTGGCGGACTGCGGCAGCATGGACGCTAGTTTGGGTCTGAGGCCTGCCGCCACTTCCTCCAGAGCCAATATGAAGCCGTCCTCGGAAGACACAGAGCGCTTCCGCCTGGAGCAGCAGCCGCAGCATGGCGGGACGCAACAGGTCAGCAGCAGTAGCGGCGGTGTTAGCGGCAGCGTGGCAGCAGTAACAGCAGCTGCTGCGACTGCGGCGGCAGTGAACTAGCCAACCAACCAACCAACCAAGCAGACGGCCAACGCACCAGAAAGCAGCGAGGAAATCTTAACCCCACAATAACCAAAAACGTATTTCAAACTCGTGCATCCAATTATTTTTTGAATCCCCGGGGCCCGGCTCCAACAATTTTTAGCCCTAAGTCCCCCTCCAGACCGACAGCCTCCGCCCACCGGTTCGGACAGGACGACCGAGCCCGCCTCGTCGCGGCAGGGAACACGAAGGCGCCAGTAAGGCCGCCGAGGAAGCGGGACAGCAACCCGGAAGCTGTCTGCGGGGCAGACGCTACGGACTTGCCCCCAAGCCCAGCCCCAGCCCAGGTGCTGGCCGCCTTCGCCGTCACTGCATTGCCTCCTCCATTGCTGTTTACCGCCGTGTCTCCCACAGCTCCGATTCCCCCTCTTGCCGCTGCTGCATCCTCCTCCTCGTCATCGCCGTCGCTCGCTGACGGCTGTGTGGAAGCTGCCGCCGCAAACGCGTCATCCCCCGCTTCCAGCGCAACCGCTGCCTCACCCTCTAAACCGCCGCAGTCGCCAGCAACGTCGGCAACCGCCGCCGTCGGTGACCCTGGGAACGTGACTTTCTTCAGCTTCGTCGGCACGTGGCGCGCCGCCGCCGCTGCTGACACGTCGGGCATCGCGGCAATCCACGGGGCGGAGGCACTGGGGAGATCACGGCTGAGCGACGCCAAACTCCGCATATGCCGCGCCCCACCTGGCTTGCCTGAACCCGGCGGCCGCCCCGGGCCCCTGCCACTGCCGCGGCCGCCGCCGCCGCGGCCGCCGCCAGACCTCCCTCCGCCGCCGCCCGCTGCGGCCGCAGCACCCGATCCAGCACCGGCGCTGCCCCTGGAACCGCTGGCTCCACCCCGAGGAGCTTTGGGCGCCCCGGCTGCGGGTTTGGCGGTGACGCTGGGTGCTGGTGCTGGGACGCAGTGCGGTCGGTGGTACGGCATACGGCATGCAAGGACTGTACGGCGACAGTCTGGGCAGCGTGTAAGAGCGACTGCGTCTGGCTGGCCTGCAAGGGCTGAGGTGATCACCCCGAGCCATCCGAGCTCGCTGCTGGCGGTGGTAACTGTTTCTGCGGAGGTCAGAACCTCCTCCCGCAGGTGCTCGAGTAACTCGAGTCCCTTCGAGAGGTCTTCGGAAGTGAGGTGCTTGGTGGGGGAATCGGGTTTCGTGGGGCAAGCGTCGGAATCGGTCTTGGAGCCGTCCGGAGCTGCAGCTGCTGCCGTGTCGTGGGTGTTGTTAAGCACAGTGCCGCTTCCAGCTTTTATGATCCTGGCGCATAAAAATTAGGAGAAGGTACTTCCTCAGCTGCAACGGCATTGCTGTGAGCAGGTTGCTCAACCGTGTAGTGTTGCGCGTGACAGCTTGGCGGCGACTTACCCAGCGGCCACGGCAGCATCTGACTCGTTGAAGATGCAGCCGATGTAATCAATTAAGCTCTCAGGCTTTTCACAGCGCAGCGCAGCCGGGAGCTGAGAAGCCAATGCTTTGTACTCTGTGCGCAGAGCGGAGACGTTTTCACGAAACCATGACTTATCTTGACCGAGGTTGTGAGTTTGAATTCTGGAGATCAATTTACCTTCCCGTAACCTCAAAATCTCGGTAGATAGGACTTCTTCCTCTACAGCGGCCATTTTCGCCCTATCGTTCCTCTCTTGTTCCGCCGAAAAGTAATGCCTTGGCGACTACTAGAAAGCGCATTTCGCTAAACAATTCGTACTGTCGACAAAAAGGCCATATCTTAGAAAATGCGCCAAATTAAGCTGCAACGCGGTTAGTTGGGGTCACAAACGTCTCACCGCGAAATGAACACCGGAGCGTGGCGCTAAGGTTTTAGAATTGCATGGACTACGTGCAGAATTTGCAATCGTGGGGATCCGTTGGATTGGTACGTGCCGGTGTGCATACGATGCAACAATTGTACGACTCCTCCCGGTTTCAAGTGGCACCCAGAAATGATCCCGCAATACAGGAGTATTGAACAGCTCATGGCTTGATGGAGTTACATCAAGCCATTGCCTATAAGAAGCATCAATCGTGGCGTTATCGCGGATAGATGGCAGAGCGCGAGACTCTTCGTACCCGCCGAATGCGTAAGACCCACCCTTCCAACCCGGCTGGCAGGATGTCACCCGCGCTAGCACCCCACGTTTCATGCATCTCTCCAGACGACCGTTGTTGTTCTACAGCTCTCATTTTGCGGGCTTCTAGATCGCTTAGAGCTTACAGGTGCCGGGCCTGGTATACGACAGAGGAACAAAAAACAGCCCGTACACCCACAAGAACCATAAGAAACAAACGTAGCTACGATACCATCGGACTAAGTTCATCAACAGGGTGGAATCCGTCCATGCTCACATGCGCGATGCGCCCTTGTCATCTCTAGTGCTGTATGACATACGTACAGCAGCATGGGAACTATACCACCAGAGGCTGCTAAATAGCCCGGTGTGAGGTCCCCTAGTGACGCCGTTGATCTGCTCAGCCCGGGGGCCGAGGGATCCAAAGCCCAGAGGCCTGCTGGCGGTGGATGCCTCAGAGGTGGGCTCACACCGCTCTGATGGCACCCAGGAGAGCGCTGGGCTGATGTGTGTGTGTGCGTGTGTGTGTGTGTGTGTGTGTGTGTGTTACACGGTCGTGGGGTGCATACCCCATACCCTGAAAACCGCCCAGTACGAGTACGAGACGAGCACGAGACGAGCACGAGACGAGCACGAGCTGAGTACGAGCCGAGTACGAGCCGAGGGCTCAAGGGCTGATGTGGACGTGGGTATAAATAGGGGTCAAGGGAACTGTAAGAGAGGAAAAGTGCCCCGGACGCCACCAACGGGCCGTAATGACTCCTCACACATTCCAGCGGTGTGTGACTCAGGGTGTTGATGACTCCCCAACATCGACGCAGAGGACCACCATGCGCAAGAAACCAGCTTCATGACCAGATAGTCCTCGCGTGGCGCGCGTGCACCATAACTCTGAATTGGTGATTTGACGCGGTGCCATTATTTCCACACACACATTTTCCACACACACATAACCAAACCCGATCGGCTTCTGCCTGTCGAACAGGGGCCTGCAATTACTGCAGAATGTAATGTACGACAAGTAGTCATGCCTTCCCCCCGGCGGCCAACATCATGTAACCAACAGCGACGTGCCGCAGCTGTGTAGCGCATTCTCGAGTGCTCCTCAACAGACTTGTCTGCAACATCATTCGGCCCGGGATAGGAGATTACTTGCAAGATTCACAATGACGTTGGCACTTAAGTTGACAGGCGGGCGGTTTCCAGTTCGCCGCAGAAGACGCTTTGGTCCGTCGCCTTCTCATAAGTTTATCATCTATAACGTATTCTCCAGTAACACTCAGTCGTAAGCCGTCTACTGCTGTGAAGAGCTCAAGACACGTACGTCAGCAAGTCTTTTGCAAACTGTTTGTCAGGCGGGAAACAAACAGCGCATGATCAGATCAAATGAGACAGGTCAAGAACTCAAAGAAGCTTCTGTGATACAGAGAGCAGCCGCAGGCGTTTGGTCCTGAAAAGCCGGGGCCCCGACATGAACAACGGTAGGTAGCGGTTGTAACACGTCCTTACAGATGGTCCGCTCATGCGTTCCCTTCTTGCTTACAGCGTGGTAGAGCGTGGCTCATCAGTAATATAGAATTTTACAAAAGCTCCGTTTTTACAATCCATCTGTGTTTGCAAGCGCTCAATGCGACGTCTGGTATTTGCGTGCCTGGAGGATACGACATGATGGCCCAGTGTGCGCACAAATGCAATATGTGCAGTCTCCTTATTTCCTACCACTTATAGGGGTTACAAGCTTGCGATGGCCAATACGGAGGTTTTACTCAGTCAGGAGTCCCTGAGGAGTCACCTGCACGCTTATCACCCGAATCCTGTCGGGATATTTTACGACTAAGCTTTTATATAGTCCATAATTATGGCAATGCGATTTACGCCTCTGCTTGTGCTGGTATCCGGTGATGCCCGGAATGCGGAGCAACACGACAGTCCCCTAGCATTCACTACGACAACAAGGGGCCTGCATTTTACGTCATGTTCGGGACTGCTGCTTGCCAAGGGCGATTCCCACGATGGCATTGTGCTTGTGCCGGCAGCAGTCCTCCGCCACTGGATGAAGCCTGGGGCGGGCTGGTTGGCATCCTCCTGCGGCGCCGAGCCCCCAGCTCTAACGCCGGACTGTGCTATATGTGCTGTTGGCCCCGCCAGTGCCCTTAGCGATGGCGCAGCAACTTGCATTCCTATTGCGACAGTTCAAGTTCCAGCACTCTCCCGTGCAGCTGCGTATCTCCTACAGAGTTTGAACCGTGGCGAATCTTCCGCTAAATGGGCATTTGAATGGAACATCGGCGGGCCTTGCAGCACGGCGGCGGAGCAGGGCTCCTTTGTGCTCTGCTGGGCACAGCCGCTTAGAGGTAACGGCCTTGGTACGGCAACAGCAGCGGGACCCGCAAATGCATCCACGCCTCCTCTCAGAACCCTGGCGGGATACGGGGTACCAAATCCTGGAGTTGCCGCCGCCACGGTCGCCACCGCCGCGGTGGCCGCAGCCGCTGCTGCAGCGTGTACTAATCGTGGCAATGCGGGGGCCCCGGCGCCTGGCAGCAGCAGCGGTCCCGCTGCGGGTCAGCTACTGCCTGATCACCTTCGCGATGCAGCTCTCTGCCACAATGGCTCTGGAGCCACAGTTTCGGACCTGGGGCCACTGATCGATCCCGCATGTGTGGCTCTGTTGCGTTCGTTCTATTTCTCTCTTTCAGCAACACCAGCAGCGTCGCCGCGGTGGCCAACATCGGTGATGTCGCCACAGCGAGGAGCTGCGTTCGCTGCATGTGCAGCGTCGCCGCGTGTGCCGCCGTCTTCTTCATCAAAGTGCGCGGGCACGGCGGCCTGCACCTGCACCTGCACCGGCGCGGCCCCCGGGCGCTTGGTGTCCGTGACAGGCAGCCCCTTCGGCTGCCTGGCCCCCTTCCATTTCGCCAATGCAACGATCAACGGCGCAGTGGCATGCGCTTTCCCTGCGCCGCTGGATACCCCGACTGCTGCTGGTGGGGGCAACACGACCACTGTCGGTGCTACTGCCGCCGCCGCCGCCGCTGCCGACCCCTGCGGCTGTGGTCTTGGACCTGCGTTGTACGTCTTGGATGCTCACGTGTTTCCCGGCATGGAAGGAGCGCCGGTGACGCTGCAGGAACCGCCGCTGCAGCAGTCGCTGACGGCGCCAACAGCACCGGGCGCCGCTGACGGTGGCAGTATCGACAGCATCGCACTGCTGCCGGAGCCACCGCTGGCGCTGCTGTGCACTCCCATCAGCCGCCGCGCTGACGGCGTCCAGATGCCACTGGCGGCAGCCTGGAGCCACGTGGCAGCGGCGCTGAAAGGCGTCCTTGCGCAGCTGCTACTGCAGGCTCTGGGTCCGTCAGCCGTCGATAGTACGGCTTTAATAGCCCATCTGACCGCTACCACTGACGCAGTGAAGGCGGGGAAGCAGCAGCTGCAGCTACAGCCCGTTGCCGCGTCGCGAATAGTACCACAAGGTGCTACAACTGCTGTCACGAGGGGTTGCGGTGGTGGCTGGCGGCATAGTGTACGGCCAGAATGTGGTAGCGGAGGCAGCAGTGGCTGCAGAGGAGGAGGAGGCGGACAAGCACAGCCCCCTTCAGGGCGGCTGTGGGGGGGAGCTGGAGGGAGCGCCTACAGACCCGAGGCGGGCGAAGACGTGTTGGGTGACTGGGCTGAGGTGGGTGATAGTGCTGCGGCTACCTGGCCTAATGGCGGCGGCGAGGTCACCGCCGTCACGGTGCCGCCAGTCACGGCTATGTCCTGTTGCAGCGGCGCCGTCACTAGGGCTGTAGCCGCTGGCAGCCCTGCGGTCGCGACCATCTCCACGTCCCCGTCGGGTCGATGTCCCACCCCGACCACAGCTAACTCGCACACTGCCGCCGGTGCCAGCGCTGCCCTGCTACAGCCGCTGGCGGCGGCGCCGACGCTGGCCGCCGCCGGCGTGGAGCTGCCCCCTTGGGTGCTGCAAGCCGTGGTCCTGCTCCGCTGTAACGGCTCCTGGGCGACGGGGGTTGTTGTGGAGGGCCGATCGGGGCTGTTCATTACCACGGCACACCTCTTTCAGCGCCCGCCCCACACGAACGCTGCAGGGGGCCCCAGCCAGCTGCATGGGAAGCGGGGTGGCGCCGGTGGCAGCGCCGGCAGCAGCAGTGGTGACGTCTGGACGCACTTGCAATGCTGGGCAAGGGTCCCGTGGGTCAGTGACAGTGGCGGCGGCGGCGACACTCGGAAACCCGCTGGCCGTGCCGGACTCGCGTATCGATGGATGCGAGCTCGTGTGCTGTACATATGGTCAAACCACCTTGACCTTGCCGTATTACAGCTGGAGCCGTCGTACGGCAGCAGCTGGGCGGCGGAATCGATGGCGGCGGCCCTGGTAGCAGTGCATGAAACAGCGCACGCCAGGGTCGACTCCGAACTGGAAGCCTGTGTGTTTCGGCGATTTTCAGCGCCAGTGCCGGTGGCGGTGGCGGAGGTGACGGAGCCCCAGTGCGCCGCGAGTGATGGCTGCCGCAATCTTGACGTTGCCGGCGCTGAGTCGCGCGAGCTGTACGGCCCAGGTAGCCCCGTGTGGGCTGTAGGGCACAGCCTGGTGGGCCCTGCGGCGGAATGGCCGGCGCTGGTGTCGTACGGCTGTATTGCACGGGTACGTGCCGTACTTACCTCACAGTGCACCCCTGTAAGCTGTCGGCTCGTTAATGCAGCTTTCGCTTCTTTTCCTCCTTCTCGCACGCTCCATTGTAATATTCTACCCCCCTGTCAATACTAAGTTCCAGTATCAAGGGCCTGACGTGCAAAGCAAAGCAGAGGGGTGCCCGCAACGGCCCGTGTGGCGCTTTTTGCAGTCGGGCCACGCTCTCAGCAGCCGGCGCAGCTACTGTGTCAGTCTCACAGCTCCACCCTGACACAGACCTCGACGGTTGTGGCGGCAGTTGCTATCCCACCTTTGCGAATCACGCCGCCCTGGCGCCTGTCCCGTGCCTTCTTTCCCTCCCCTTACCCGATCAGGTGGTACGGGTCCGCTCCGGGCGACCCACCATGATCATCGCCACCACCACCACACATGCGGGCGGCAGTGGGGGCGCGCTGCTGGATGCGCGAGGTCGACTGGTGGGCTTGGTGACCAGCAACGCCAGACATGCCGGGGTTACGACGTTGCCGGTGCGTGGGTGGGTGGGTGGCGCGGACGACTATGTGGTCATTGGCTGGTTAGCTGGCGTCCTACATCTCCTTTCATATCCCTGTGTCTCTTAGTTGTCTCTTAGGCTCAGGTAGGCGGGGTTGGGGTTGCTCATTCCGCCGACGTCCTCTTCGTCCTCCTTCCCTGCGTCCTCCCAACTCCACTCCACCTGCACCTTACGCCCCGTCTAGACAGGAGCTCCGGCAGGACCCGTTGCACCGTTGGAGGGTGACGAAACCCATAGGCGTAACATACATAACTTGCGCGCACGCACGCACTCACCAGAACCGGCGGCTCTTTCCCGCTCTCCTCTTCGTACCGGCTCCTGCTGCTATCCCACCTCCTCAGAATATGGCCTTCTGCATCGCAGCGGAGGAGCTGGAACCCGTAATTCGCTGGGCAGCAGCACAAGGCTGCTGGGGCACTCAGACTACTGCTGATACAGCCAAACCGACACCTGCTGCTGCTGCTGCTGCTGCTGCTGCTGGGCCGATGGCGAGGGCGGCGAAGGACATGGTGATGTCGTCGGCGCCGTTCCCCCCCCGGTGCGGCTGGGCTGCGTTGGAGGCGCTGGATGAGGACGACCCGGACGCCGCCAGGTCGGTCGGTTAACCAGTCGGCCAGTCGGTGGTGGGTCTGTGGGCCCAGGAGCCCGGGGATCAGGTTGGGCGGTTGGGTGCGGTGGGCTTCCGCGTGTGGTGTGTATAGTCCACGTACGTGCTTCTGCGCGCGAGCCTGCTGTGAAACCAGACTTGCTGCGGACCTAGTCCCGCCGAGCGTTGCACTTGCACTACCCTAGCCGGGTTGAGGGCTTGAGGCCGCCGCGTCGGGTGACCCGTGTTTTAGGTTTGGAGGAGCCTAAGTGCACTAATGCTGGGGCTTGTTCGTTTCCTCGCCCCCTCCCTTGGCGCGCAGGATCTGGCGGTTGCAGATGCCGTCCTTAGAGCGGGTCCTGGCGCCGGTCGGCCTCGCCGCCGCCGCCGCTGCATCAGGGATCTCTGAGCCGTTGCTGGCTGCAGCGCAGAGAGCAGCAGCTATCGCCGCGGCAAGGGCCCGCGGAGGCGGAAGCTTGGAAGTGGGGGCTGTACACCCGTCTTCCACTGGCGTATGGAGTCGGTTGTGAGGAATCCTGTCTGTGGAGCTATCGGTAACTTGTCGGCAGCTAGGGTTTCTCATCCAACGGTCCCTAACGACTCGCGAGGACTAAATACGGCAGCATTGTATTCGTGCGTAGGCGATCCGGCAGCAGCATGTTTGCCACTTGACGTCGTCGGCAGTAATAGATAGGTTGGTTTGCTGCCAGCTGGTTAATGGTTATGTGCTAAGGGACCAGCTTGTATAAAATTTACTTGAGCTCTAATGTAAAGTGTGCGTTCCGGTTGTTAGCCTTGCTGTTAGTGGTTGATGGGGGTGTTACACTGTGGGCGGCTCGCCCGAGAAAGGACGAGCACCGGGGGCCCTGACCGGGCCGAAACACAGCGCAGGGACGGGCGCGCGGCTCTACGTCCGTCTGGTCCTCCGCGCGCGCCTCATTCCCTCACTCACGCCAACCGGGACGCTCTCCCAGCCCCTGGCTAGGCAACACAGCGGCGCAGAAGACTGGTTGAAGAGTGGTTGTTTTGTTTGTTGACGAAGTTTGGGACGTATCAACGGGGATCCGCCGATCACGAGGTGCTCTCGACGGTTCAAGAGGCCTCCTGGAACGGCGACGGCAACGGCGCTCACAGAAGTTGTCGTACTCCGCGCCTCTCCTCTTCCCCCTTTCGGTGCATGGCGGCACTGCACGACTGGTTCGTGGCGGCATTCGTTGCACGAATGCCGCCGCGAACACGTTCTGTGCTCGTGGCCCACCAGCCCGCCCGCCGTAGTGGGTTCAGGTGCTTCTTGGCAGCGCCACGCACGGCTGGACGTGCTGGGCGATATTGGGCCCCTACGGGGTCTGCCTGTGGGGTATCGCGGGTCTGGCCAGCTGGCCTTCCCCTCGCGGCTGTCTAGACGTCTTACTTCGCACGTAATCATGACCTAAAATATACCACAGATGAACATAACTTTGATGACTCCTATGACGAGCACAGCCGTGTAACGGAGGTTGTGTGCTAACGTTGTGGTACATGATCTGGAAGGCCTGGAACCGAAGAAAACTGTGTGTGCATGTTTGTGCGGAAACAGCGAGCAAGTATGGACTCTCAAACTGTCAGACGAGGAGTAAGAAAAGGGCAGGCGCCCGAGGTGCCCGAGGCGATGATGGTGAGGTTCAAGGCCGGCATGTCACACGGGCCCAGCTGAGCCCAGTAGTCGACCGGAGGTTGCGCTGCGGAGGAGTTACGGATGTGCGCGTGCCAACCCCTGACACGGGTTGAACTCCATCACAGCTCAAAACAGGTCAGAAGTGCAGCTAGGTCGCACCGGCATTATGAGACATGGGGGGGGGGACCGAAAGCCCTGGGACCACCCGGGGATGGAGTACGTAAAAGATGACAAAATATCTAGCAGTACCACCACCACGGCCGCTGTTAACAGCAACAAACACCGACAGAAAGCAGGACAGGACAACAGGACAAACGAGTTCTCCACCAAATCCTGACGGACCGACATCGTTGCTGGAGCTCGGTCTACCTGGCGGCCCTTAACCGGAAACATCCATTTACTGGTACGGCATATCACGGCACAATTCACAGGTGCGACAGCGAATGCCAGCCGGCACGGACGTGTTTTGGAGGCGCCCTTGTCATCCCCACAGAACTGCCCCGGTACGACGCCCTGCCGCCCCACGCGACCATCCAATCCATGCCCGTGTATGTTTGGGCATTGAACTTTTCGCTCATTGCCTAAACGCAACGCTTTGCGGCACCGGTGTAACAGCAACCCTGGGCTCGGGCTACGGGGCGGACGAAAACAACGCAGCAAGAGAAAAGCAATGAGGCAGACTCCGTGCGTGTGTGTGTGTGGAGGGGAGTGTTCCGGTGTCTGCAGGTAACCACGGGCCTGATTGATGCCACGTCCGCCTCGAGATGCAAGTGCTGTAATAGTAAAGGCCATCACCTTCTTGAGAGATGCCACTGCCTCTGCCGCTGAATTAGCGAGCTGGCGTCCTTACCGTCGTCGTTTCCGCTGTACTGCGGCCGAGGACCAGTGACCAAAATGTGTGGCCGTGCGTACAGCTTTTTTTGTGTACGGACACATGTGCCCATTCATACAAGTTTCTCCACCCTGGGGCTCCCCCTGTCCTGCCCTGCGCGCCCCCCTGCCCAATCAGCAACATTGCAACAGCATGGGGATCCATGCCGATCGCGTATAACGTGTGTCGTCGCGTACGACACCTGCCATGCAAGACAACGCCGCCGCGCCCTTCATTTCGACGGTGGCGGCAGCTGCTCGTACAGGCTGCCGCCGCCGCCCCGCGGCGTCTCCTTCCGGATTCGCTCCACAAGCTCCCGCAGATGCGGCCGTACCTCCGCAGCGCCGCCACTGCCGTGACCACCTGCCGTACCGTGCCGCCCCGCGCTGGCCAGCGGCCGCGGACTGCCGCCACCGCTACACTCCCCACCGCCACCCCCGCTTTCTCCCGCACCGCAGCCAGTTGCGTGTAGTGCTCCTGCCGCTGGTAATGGAGAAGCCAGTGACGATGACGACGGCGGCGGCCCCCTGGGCGAGACCGAGACCACGATGGTGCTCGCGACGGCGCCCGCGAAACGGCCCTCCGCGGGTGCTGCCGCCCGCGGGCCCACTCGCGCCACAAAGTCGCGACCGTCCGAGAAGCCGATGACGGTCTCAAGCTGCCGGGGCCGACTGGCTGCAGCCGCTGGCGCTGCGGCCGCCGTGCCCGCCTTGCCATCGCCGCTGCTCCCTCTCCCAGCGTCCTCTGCTTGCCGTGCGGGACACACACGTACCAGGTGGGCGGACGTGTGCATTGCTGTCAGGGATGGAGTCCGTTGCTGCTACACGCTACCCGGCACCTCACCGTTTTTTGCGGCATCTCGGTGATGTGATGGCGGCTTGTTGGTGTGGGCGAGTAGGAGCACACAGCTGACCTACCCGCCCATGAGGGCTGTGCGGGCTGGCAAGTGCGATCACCGCCTGCGCGGTGTCGCCGCCGCCGTCACGACCTTACAGGACCCCACAGCAGCAGCTGCCACTAGATGTATGTGCCCCCCCTATGTGGGTCGCATCGCCGCATTGTCATACATCCGCAACTGCATGCCCGCACACCACCTGCTATTGCACCCACACCAACAGCCACAGCCCAGTTTTCCAGAATCTCCATACGTCACCGAGCTGCTTTCGAACACATAGGTTGCATCCCATGTTCCTCATCGCTCACCCGCACCCGCACCCGCACCCGCACCCGCACCCACACCCGCACCCGCACCCGCACCCGCACCCACACCCGCACCCGCACCCGCACCCGCACCCACACCCGCACCCGCACCCGCACCCGCACCCGCACCCGCACCCCCACCCGCACCCGCACCCGCACCCGCACCCGCACCCGCACCCGCACCCGCACCCGCACCCGCACCCGCACCCGCACCCGCACCCGCACCCGCACCCGCACCCACACCCGCACCCGCGCACCTGC